AAGGGGTGCGCAGAGGGTGGTCCCTCAACGCGACTCTATCCGTGACACGCTCGCAGATCGTGGCAGGAGTGGCACGTCCTCGACACCACAGGGGGTGCGCAGAGGGTGGTCCCTCAGCGCGGCCTCTATCCGTGACACGCTCGCAGATCGTGGCAGGAGTGGCACTTTCTCGACACCACAGGGGGTGCGCAGCGGGTGGTCCCTCAGCGCGGCCTCTATCCGTGACACGCTCGCAGATCGTGGCAGGAGTGGCACTTTCTCGACACCTCAGGGGGTGCGCAGAGGGTGGTCCCTCAGCGCGGCCTCTATCCGTGACACGCTCGCAGATCGTGGCAGGAGTGGCACTTTCTCGACACCCCAGGGGGTGCGCAGAGGGTGGTCCTTCAGCGCGGCCTCTATCCGTGACACGCTCGCAGATCGTGGCAGGAGTGGCACTTTCTCGACACCACAAGGGGGGCGCAGATGGTGGTCCCTCAGCGCGGCCTCTATCCGTGACACGCTCGCAGATCGTGGCAGGAGTGGCACTTTCTCGACACCACAGGGGGTGCGCAGAGGGTGGTCCCTCAGCGCGGCCTCTATCCGTGACACGCTCGCAGATCGTGGCAGGAGTGGCACTTTTTTCGACAAGGACCGGGGTTGCGCAGAAGGGTGGTCCTTCAGCGCGGCCTATACCTCCGTGACACGCTCGCAGATCGTGGCAGAGTGGGGGGGTGGCACTTTCTACGACATCACAAGGGTGTGCGCAAAAAGGGCAGTCCCTCAGCGCGGCCTCTATCCGTGACACGCTCGCAGATCGTGGCAGGAGTGGCACTTTCTCGACACCACAGGGGGTGCGCAGAGGGTGGTCCCTCAGCGCGGCCTCTATCCGTGACACGCTCGCAGATCGTGGCAGGAGTGGCACTTTCTCGACACCGCAAGGGGGTGCGCAGAGGGTGGTCCCTCAGCGCGGCCGCTATGCACGACGGTCGTCCATGGCATAGCAGGCGTGGCACTTTCTCGACGTCATAGGGGGTGCGCAGGGGGTGGTCCCTCACCGCGGCCGCTATGCACGACGGTCGTCCAGGGCATAGCAGGCGCGGCAGTTTTTCGACACCGTAAAGGCTGCGCAGGGGGGTGGTCCCTCACCGCGGCCGCCATGCACGACGGTCGTCCAGGGCATAGCAGGCGTGGCACTTTCTCGACACCACAGAGGGTGCGCAGGGGGTGGTCCCTCACCGCGGCCGCTGGCTGGCTCGAATCTGTCTTCGATGGAGGATAGAAGGCTAGGAAGAAGGAGGAGGTTCAAGCAATATGGCGTTGGATGACACAGAGGGGAACATTCGCGACGAGGGCTGAGAACGCAGAATTGCGCATATATGATAAACTTAAGCAAGCACATCATATTTAAATTAAGTATGTGGGGTTCCTCGGTAGCGTAATTATGTTTTTCGCAGTTTTTTTGCTGTTCGCGTTTTCGGGCTTCCGACACGCCAAGACTACGCAAAAAGCTTCCAACATCGTCCCAAGAGGGCCCAAGAGGCCCCCAAGATGCCCCCAAGAGGCCCCCAAGCCGGCCCAAGAGAGCCCCCAAACGGCCCGAGAGAGGCCCAAGACGGCCCAAGAGGGCTTCAGGACGACCCCAAGAGTGACCCAAGAGGGGAAACACAAACCGGCATGTCGAGCTTTCCGCCCCAAGAGGCCCCCGACAGGCCCCCAAGAGGCCCAAAAGAGGCCCCCAAAAGAGAACCTAAGCGCGCGCGAAGCGCGCGCGTGGTTCTAGTATATATATATATATATATATATATAGGTAGATAGATAGATAGATAGATGGTGCATGTTTTGAATATTTCTTTTTTTTCGCCCAAAACCCGCCTGTAGGGGGGCATGCCCGACCTAACCCTGGGAAGCGAAACCTGGAGCCACTCCTTGATGGATTGTTTGGTTTCAGCATGGGCCTGAGACCACGCTCTGCCGCAGGCTTCCCCAGCCCGATCAGCCATGAGTCGGGCGTCCTCCGCGTTGCCGGGGAGGTCGGAAAGCAGGGTGGCCCAGGCTGGGCCTCCATCGGGGTCAGAGGCAGGGGTTCGATGTTGGCAAAGACCTCAGCGGCGAAGCCGTGCATAATGTCACGATGTGTTTGGGCGGCAGGCGCAGGGGTCGTCTCGAGCAGCTTCGTATGCTTGTACAGCCGATTGGAAGCCATAAGCCAGAGCACCAAGGGCCGCGCACGGAGCGAGGTCTGTCTGCTCTCCTCGCAGAGGAGCCGCGGCCGTTGCGCTTGGGAGGCGCAGCAGTCATAGCACGCGCGCGTGGTGCCTGCATCATGTCTGCAGCATGGACTTTAAGATGTTATACAGAATCGGGAGTATAGCTCGCGCGCCGTTGCCTTTGGCTCAAGGCACGCGCGCCCTATTTGCCCGGACGCTGCTTGTGTTCGCTATGTGCTGGAAAGATCATTACATCGATATTATCTTATCTTTTCCGTCCATTCCTCTTACTGAACAACCTCAACACGATACCGGACCATCGGCAGCCAGGGAATAGAGTGTGTACTGGTAAACTCATACATAGCACGGAGACCACGAACGTTTTCCATTGCGACGCCTATGCAAATCGGCGAGATACACCACCCCCACGGCGATAATACAAGTCGTCGTGCTCATCCCCAGGGCAGGGGTCGGGACCCCTGCGGCCGCACATTGGGAGCCCAAATCTCCAGCGAATTGGTTTTCCACCATGGCCTCCAGGCAAGCAGTGCAATGCGATGCAAAGCAGTGCAAAGCAGTGTGCTACAAGATAAAGCAAAAGGATGCAGTCTAATGCGATGCAAAGCAGTACGCAGCAATGCAAATTGGATGCAACGCAGTGCAGAGCAGTGGAATGCGATGCAAAGCAACGCAATGCGATGCGAAGCAATGCAAAGCGATACAAGGCAATGAAGAGCAATGGATAGCCATGCAGAGCAGTGCAATGCAAAGCAAGTTCACGATGCTCTTTCTGCCTTGCTATGCCATGCGAGTGGACGAGTGGAAGTCGCGGCGACGGACGGCGGCAACTGGCGGCCACGGGTGCCAATCTAGGCCTCCTAGATGGGGTCGGAGTAGATGGGGCCAGAGGGTGGCGCCGCATCGCCGATGCATCGCCGATGCGGCTCGATGTGGGGTCCGATTTTCTTCACGCACACGTCGCCGATGCATCGCCGACGTCGACGATGCATCGCCAGTGCATCACCGATGTGTCGGCGATGCATCGCCCATGTATCTGCGATGCGGCGCGATCCTCCGACCCCATCTGCGCGGACCCCATGTGGGAGGCCTCTAGAATTGGGGCCCAGAGGTAAGAACCCCCAAGGTCAAGGTTTACTGGAGGAGATCATATAATTGACTTTGGCCTACGCTCTTTGAAATGTAATCTACCCTACTGAATCTTTTGCTAGTCTGAGAGTGGTCCCACGTTCTCTCTCTATCTCTCTCTCTCTCTCAGTCTAGGTCTCTCTCTCTCTCTCTCTGCGCTTTCTCTCATTACTATGTCTCTGTTCGTATTGGATTAAAATTACCAATATGTTTAATGTCTTTACCCTCTCAACCCGCTCTGGTCTTTGTTCTCGGTGCCTAACTCTGCGATCTAACCTCTCATCTGCAATTCGTATTATCTAAATTCGCCTTCCTCATTTTCTCGCTGTCGCAATGACATGCGCACTTGGCGCAACAAGACCTGAATATAACCGACCCAGAAGCCGTACAGAGCTGGGAGCCAAAAATTTGGAGCGAGGAGCCAGGGAACTTGGCCGCCCACCGAAATCGGCTGGGGACCTGGAATTGGGGAGCTTGGCTCAGGAACTCGGTCGCCTACCGGATTCGGCGCACAGTTTTTCCGCCAAAGCCAGAAATCGTAAATTGGGAACCCCGCCGCCGAGCGAAATTGGCAAAGCATCTTCGCCAATTCTTTCGACTTCGCGACGACCACCTTCAGTGAAAGCACGGTTGGGGAACACACATGTTTTTTTTGTAAGCGGGCCGACAGGCCTGCGTACAGCTCTGTATGAGGTTCTCGCAGTCGAGATGGGGAGGGTGGGCATGGACTTCCTGCGTGGTTGAGACCCCTGCCGCAGAGGTGTTCGGTCAGCACCATGATGGTGACGAAGGCCTCCGCAGCCGTTTTGTCCCAAGTGCCTTAGTTCAGCAATTTTCGGATCGCCGGTTCAACGGATGATGTACAGAGACGGCCCGGAATGTGTAGAGAGCATGGTTCCACCTGGAGGCGCTGGCCACAGCGCGCGGCTGCGCATGGCCGCGCCCGCCTCCGGCAGCACGGACACGGAATGGAAACTCCAGCGCACCGGAACTTTCCTCGACGTCTGTTCAGATCCAGGGAGCGATTCTTGGGCGGATCAGTTGGAGGCGAGGGCTGCCAGCGACCCTGGGCCGCAGTCGGCGCCGCGGCAGAACGCGGTCCGGGGGCGCCGCGTGGGCGGCTGGCAGGACGAGTACGTCAGGGTGCTGGAGCAGCGGGTGGCCTCTTGGCAGCTGGGCCCCAGCAGTGACCGCGCCAGCTCCTTGCGGGAGCTGCTGACGCCGTTGGTCCACGAGGTCCACGCCCCTGCCCGGCGCAGGCCGCGCACGGTGCCGCCCACGCCCCTGGAGAGGTCTTCCGCCGACGGCTCGTCGTCGGAGACCCCGCCGCCGATGCAGCAGCTGGCCTGGAGCGGCCTCCGGCGGCAGCGCGGCAGCAGCGGCGGCGGGCCCACGCCCCCCGGCGGCGCGCGGGGCGCCGCAGCGCGTCCGCCGCGGCCGTCTCCACGCTCGCCGCGGCAGCCCCCGAGGCCGCTCGGCGGAGCCCATGGCGCCGGGGCGCCCGACGACGAGGTCCAGGCAGGCGGAAGTCATCGGGGAGCATCGGATGGCACAAGCATAAACTTTTCGGGCGTCGCTGGATAGAAGTGCCCCTGGGCCAAAGTGCCCCCCAGGATTCTCGGGGTAGTCCAAACGAAACGGCTTCCAGAGCAGCCCTCACGAGGCCCAGAGGGCCCCAGGGCTCCAAAATGGATCGAAAAGCTGGGGGCACCTTGGGCCAGGGGGAATTCTAGCAACACCCGAAAATTTCTAGCTCCGCGCGGAGTGCTCGGATCGGCGCTGGAGCCCCCTGGCGGCGCCGCTGGCGCCGCCCCTGGCCCGCTCCGCGCGCCAAGGACGGGGGGGCTGTCCCAGCGCAGATCCAAGAAATCCGCGCGCAGCTCCGGAAGTTTATGCTGAGGCTATTCTTTGCTGGACGAACGAACAACACACATCCATACCCATAGGGGGGGCGGCGGGGGCTATGGGCGCGTGTCGTCGGATGGGGATCCCCGCTCGAACGGGAGCGCCCTCCGGGGTCCGACAACCCGCGCCCAATCCCCATGGCCAGTCCTCCTCCCAACGACCCCCCCCCTACACGGGTGTGGGTCTGTCGCGATCTAGTCGCCACTGCTCCCCGGCATCACGCCGCTGCCGCCGGTCTTGCCTCGGCGTCCCCCCGCGCCGGCCTCGGCGCCCGCCGCGGCGTGGTCCGACGCTCCGGCTGCCTGCCGAGCGCGGGGAGCTACGGCCACCCGGAGCTGTGCAACCGGCCGTGCTGGTACTGGCCGACCGCCAGTGGATGCCGGAGCCCGAGGGGAGCAGAAAGTCATCGAGAACACATCAGGGGAGGGAAAGGTACCGATTCCGCTGCCCTTCATTCGTTTTCCCCTTGTTGGGCCTCCTGGG